TCCCCCCTCCCTTTATCTCTCCTTGTCTTTCTGTCTCTCTCTGGCAAGTACATTCACCCTCTGATAATTAAAAGAAAAAATAGAATAAGTATTTAATTATTCCAGTTTACAGTTGAGGAAGCCAGATTGTTTTCTGAATATAGCAAGATAAGAAAAAATAATGCTAAAATGGAATAAAGCTGAAAAAAGACTTCCACAAAGGTTAAGGCCAGCAGAGCCTGTAATAAGGTTTACAACTTCTTTTTTTTTGGAGAGGTTTTTGCCATAGGGCATGTGTGCTTGCCAGAAAGACAGGGAGAAAAAGATAGATAGAAAGCGAGAAATTACTCCCCAGAGGGGATGGCCACGCCGCAATCCCTTCTCCTCCATTCTCCCCTGGGGATCTTGAGCACATACGCACACGTGTCCAGTGTGAGTTTAAGCCACCGGGTCCAGGATGTGAACTGCAGTCGGCTACATGGGAGTTCAGCGACATAGCCATTATGCTAACTGCTGGTCCCATAAGGTTTACAACTTCTAATGAAGGGAGAGGGCTGTCTCTATGAAGCTGAAAGGTATACAAAGCTGCGCAAAACCACTGAACTTGGAAGCAAAATGCAGAGTTAAGATTCTTTAGTATAAGTGACCTGAGCAGAGAGAAATAGGAAAGATGCTGTTTTCCCAGAAATATCAATTGTTTCAATATCAACATTTCTTTTGAGTATTTGCTACCTTGATAAGGAGATTTGAGGTCTCTGGCCTAGCTGCAGGTTAAAGGATCAGGGAACAAAGTAGGAGAGTGGTAGAGGGGAAGAGTGTAGGAAGGGGAACTTGGGGAAAAATGGAGAAGTAAGATATTTGTGGGACACAGATATGGTTTGCTGCCTGTTAATGATGTCGTGTGTGGTATTCTCAACTCACCTGGTGTGTGGCATATATCATGTTGGGTAAAATCTCTTTACAATCTAAATGATGTGTAGCGATCGAATGTATAAATAATAATAAAAATAAATAAATTTCAAAAAGAAAAGGATCATGGAATCCCTGAAAGGGAGGACATTTTATTTTTAATTAAGAGGTTTTTTTAAAAGTATTTTCAAAAAGAAGCAATTTTCACTTTTTCTATTTTTCGTCCTAGTAGATATGGTAGATTGAGTGGTCAATAACATAGTTTTATTTGAGAAGGAGGCAAATAAGTCATACTTCCCATTCATTTGAAAATTAAAATATGGAAACTCATCTCTTTTAGCAGTTGCTAGGGATGACACTGCCCTCCTCAAAAGCAATGATAAATTATAACTGTTGCTGCAATATTTTGTTATTATCATCTGTATACAATGAAATATTTTTGTTTTTCGGTTATTGGGACCTTTCCTAAAACCCGTTTTCAGGTACCTATCATTCAGGTACTGATTCAGTTGTTAAAGGGTATACAGTTAATGACGAAAAGTGAGTAAATGCCATTTCTTTGTAAACATGTAGGGAGCTGAGCCATCGACACTATTTCCCACAAACAAGAAATAAATCGTTGTATTGGTTGGATAACTGTGGATAAAATGGCTTTCCTGGTTAAGGATGAAACTGCCTTGCTGCGGGTTGAACAAAGGATGGTTAAATTTGATGCCGATTAGCACTGTCTGCATAGGGTTTAGGAGGACATGAGAAAGGGGAAAGTGGATGGGGAGGGAGTTGACATTGTCAAGTGACAACCACAGGCTCCTTTGCAGGTCTTTCTTGCTAGTGCTAAGGGGATGCGCGCTGGGACAAATAAATGCTTAGAGGTGAGAAGGGCAAAAGCACGCTAATAAAAGGAAAGAGTGTAGGCGACCTAGGGAAATGTGCTGCGGTCAAGTTTAATCCTGGGAAAAGAGGCCCCGGAGAAAGCAGAGGAGGAAGATAGGAAGGAAGATAGGGAGGGGAGACGCTGGGCGTGGAGGGAGGAAGGGGCGGGCGTGGGGGCTTGGAAAGTGAGAGGGAGCGAGCAGTAATTATGGCTAAGCCCGCCGGACCGAAGACCACAGGGAGGGCAAAAGTGAAAGTCGAAGAGGAGGAGGGGCAGAAGCGGGAGGACCCGGACGAGACCCCGGGCTGGGGAGGTGGCGGGGGGTGCCGCGAGCGCCGCTGGGTCCGCTCGGGCGCTCTTGGCAGCCTCAGGCGGGGGCTCCTCGGGGCTCCCTCCCTGGCGGCTGAGCGCCATGCTGAGCCATGGAGCTGCGCTAGCCTTGTGGATAGCTCTGAGCCTGCTGCAGGTGAGTGACCCATCAGGGGGTGGGGACTGATGCATCCCCTCCAGGCCGAGAACCAAACTCCCACTCCGCTTTCCGGTCTCCCGGGTTGCGCTTTGGAGGCAGAGGTGGCAAATTTCCTTCTCTCCCTTGAGAAGAACAGCCCTCCCATGCTGAGCCATGGAGCTGCGCTAGCCTTGTGGATAGCTCTGAGCCTGCTGCAGGTGAGTGACCCATCAGGGGGTGGGGACTGATGCATCCCCTCCAGGCCGAGAACCAAACTCCCACTCCGCTTTCCGGTCTCCCGGGTTGCGCTTTGGAGGCAGAGGTGGCAAATTTCCTTCTCTCCCTTGAGAAGAACAGCCCTCTTCTGAGCCTAGAGCCAGACTGACAGTTCATCCTGCTCTCCTGTCAAAGGCAGCAAGCCACCTCTTTGCTTCAGCGTTCCTGAGGGAGAACAGCAAGAGGAAAGTTGCCATAGCCTCTCCAGAGGGTCTATTGTCAGCTGGAGGGCAAAGGGACAAGGGGACTGTGGGATAGGGGTGAGTAGGGGCGGCTTGGGGAGCTTGCTGCCAGTTGGTCTCTGGACAGTCCAGACTGCGAGTTCTAACTGTTGTCTCTGGTTCCTTTGCAGACCAGCCTGGCAGAGCCAGTGAGGTGTAACTTCACCCTGACGGAGTCCAGAGTCTCCAGTCAGTCCGCGTGGATCCAGTGGAGAACTCTGGGGTCACCCTGTAACTTTAGCATCATCTATAGCAGTGACACCTCGGACGTGGTGTGGTGCCAGCCCATTCGGATAGACAACACCACCTATGGATGTAACCCCCAGGATTTGCAAGCGGGCACTGTCTATAACTTCAGGATTCTTTCCCTGGATGGAGAAGAGAAAACGGTCGTCTTGCAAACAGGTAAAGGTGGCAGGTGCAGGTGGACAGCCATGCCACTGCAGGCTGGGCCCTGCCTTTTCAAGCTGCTATCAGCGACATATTCCAGATATACAAAAAAAAAAAAAAAAAAAAAGAAGTTAAAAAATCTGTGAAAAACATTGACAGAAATGTTTGGTCACCCCAGAACTTGCGAGTAACAGTTTGACTTTTAGATTGCCTCAGTACTAAAAGCAGTGGACCCTCCGCTGAAAGGAGTGAGAGGAGGGAAGGATTGAGGGTGCAGCAAAAAGAAACCCTGGGCTGGGGAGAGAAGTTGTTAAAGTAACACAGTTTGAGCTTCCAACTCACTGAATTGTCAAACTCTGGAATAATTTTAAGTGAACGTTCTTAAAATGAATAATGGAAGTGCAGTGATTAGGGATAATATGCCTTTCCTCAGTTGAGCTTTATTTTTTAGAACCCAGGTATAAAATCTTCAAAACAGAATCAGGAAATATTAGAAAAGTCCTTTGAAATCAAGGTGTGAATGTTATTTTCTATTTGTTGAATAATTAAGGTAACATAATCTTGAAGATTCTCCTTTGGTTACTTGTACCTCCAGTCAATTATTTTCCTTGCACTTTAGGAGAATCTTTCTATGTGGGCATAATTTATCTTCCTTGCTTCCGTTTTCTTTGCCATGAAATGACAGTGTCAGACTAGGTCCTTCAGGTCCCAGTTCTTACCAAGTGCCAAACACTTAGGTAGGCGCTGTCATGTGTATTACCTCATTTAATCCTCCCAGCCATTCTCAGATGTGCGTCAATTATTTTCCTTGCACTTTAGGAGAATCTTTCTATGTGGGCATAATTTATCTTCCTTGCTTCCGTTTTCTTTGCCATGAAATGACAGTGTCAGACTAGGTCCTTCAGGTCCCAGTTCTTACCAAGTGCCAAACACTTAGGTAGGCGCTGTCATGTGTATTACCTCATTTAATCCTCCCAGCCATTCTCAGATGTGCACTAAATTCTTGTGTATTACCTCATTTAATCCTCCCAGCCACTCTCAGATTTACACTAAATTCTCTGAAACTGTGATGTTTTATTACTTCATTAGTCTCTACCATTACCTCTATTTATTGCAATAGTGAACTCTTACATTCACCCAGGAAGTCAGCTTAAGTGAAAAAATCTGCAAGTTATATTTAGAAATGTGTCATCTTTACTATTCTTTCACATGTCAACCTGAAAAAAAGATCATGTCTTTAGCTACAATTCTGTAGAGGTGTGAGACCTTGCAGTTGAGAGAGCAGTTACAGCAAGTTCAGGAAATTTAATGAAGCTCATGTAATAAGTCAACCATCGTCAATGCTCTTGTCTCTTCAAAGAAAAATTCAGAATGCCCAGGTACATCATTTGACCAATTTTAGATGAAACTTTTAGATAATTTCTGAGATTTTCAGAAAATGGTTGAAAAGAGAAATCACTTGTTAAGAATCTGTAAATTTTTTATATGAAATAGAATAGAGACTGAAATTAACCATATAATTAGGACATCTTACTCAAGTTTAAGCAGCTAGGCTTTTAGTCATAATGGTGTTAGTCTTTTGGTATTTGAGAAAGTTCTGTGAATACTCATATTGCTAATATTATGGAATTTACAACAGAACTTATATTTGGAAAGGTATCTGACCAACTAGTAGTGTGTATGTTCAGTGAGGCAGAGCAAATTGTAAAAATAGGTGAGTTTTCAGAAGTTTGTCAGTGAAAAGAGAAGAACCTTAATAAGCCAGAATATAGTCATTTAACCCAGAGGGTTTAGTTATGGAAAAGTGATAATGAAAAAGGACTCAATGTGATTGTTATTAATAGTTAGAATAGGCTTTGTGTTTAATTTTGCAGGGATGTGTTTCAAGTCCAGAAGCATTTGTGAAATGTAAAAAACAAAAATTGCATTTTATTGACTATGTTAAGTGAAACAAGACTTTTACAACATCCATGATGTGTTAGCATTCAAGATTCTCACCATTTTTCTTAAGTAGGAACTTTTGACACTACAGACCACAAATTTCATAAACTTCATGATAAATATGATGAAAATTATATGTGATGTTTGTGAAAATGATAGTTTTTCCACACTTATTTTCATGTTGGCATAACCATTTTTAAGAGTCTTTATATTTTTACATGAATAAAAATAACATTTTTATTTAAATATTTTTAATTAAGATTTTTAAAAAATTATTTCGGGAGAATTTTTTAGTTGCTTGTTATTAATTTATTTATTTTCCAGTAGTGCTTTCTGTATTTTAAGATATATAAATTCTTCATTTAGTAAAAACAACCAAACAAAAAGTCTTATTAGTATTCCTCTGTATTGGTTGCTAAGCTATGGAAGTGAGTTCCATAAATCATATTTTACTGCTTTTAAAGCACCAACCAGTAAAGTATAACCTGAGACAAATCATCAAACTGAAAATGAGCATGTTTCTCTTATCCCATTTTGCCTGTCTTATTGATATAGAATAAAATAGAATGAGAACAAGACATAATTTGGATAGAGATATAGTAGTTGCTTAAGAAAATCTCTGTATCATTCCAAGTGTGATTAGTCTGATTGTTTTTTCTGATGAATTGTCTAAAATAGCCAGTTACTTGGGTGTCATATAGACATGACTTCAAGAATAAATTTTTTTAATTAAATGAGTAATATTTCAGCAATGATTTCTGCTCCAGATTTACCATCATAATAAAAAAAAAAGATATGTAGATTCAAATTCAGTTCAGCAATCAATTATTGAGCATGATACTACAGGGAACTATGTCATTATTGTGATGGGTGAGCTTCTAAAGATGACAGGAAGGTCTCTGCCCATCCACTCTCATGTAGACTGAGAGAAAGTTAGAAGGAACGTGTAAGACTTTACTACATTTTCCCTGGATGATAATTTTGCCCTGCCTTGTGTATACCATGCTCTCATCTCCATAAAGGAGAAGGAATTGAAATTCTCAGGCTTATTTAGTCATTAAGCAATCAATGCAACAAGAATAGTGTGCACGTGCATGCCCAAGGTCTCAAGAGGAGAATGAAGGAGAGAGGATTGCCACATGACCAACCCCCCTGGGGAGTGATTTCTCACTTTCCCTCTTGCTCTCTTGCTCTGTCTCTCTTTCTCTCTCCTGACCTCATGCACCCGATAGCAAAAACTAAAAAAAAAAAAGTTTAAATTCTTGAAAGTCATATTATTTAGTTGTGAATTCATTAGAAATGAATGAACATACTAGATGTTGAATAACCTAGCACTTCTGAAAGACTGCCTCCTCAGGCCCTAGAGCAGCGACCATAAACTAGTAACCTCTAGGGATGCCTAAATGTCTAAATCATAGCTATGCTTTGTTTGGTTTATGTAGTGCTTGTGAAAAATGCAGACTGTTTCACCAGCATTAAAAATGAAAATTTCACATAAAAACCCAGTCTTTGGATTCTCTGAAAACACTGGAAGATTGGCGGGACTGTCTTCCTAGAGCTTTCTAGACTTGAGTCATGGCTTTTCTTTTTAGGTACCAATTCACTGGAATATCACATCATTTATTTCCATACCTGAATGCTTTCTAAGGACAATTGAACTTGTGACTTCTTTAAAGTTTTCATTTAGAAATTTGGGGGATATTTATTTATACAACAATAAGGTTTCTAGTACCTAAAATGGCACCTAATACATGGTAGGTATTTAATAGATGAACAGATGGATGTGGATAGATATGGATGGATGTGGATGGTACCAACAGAAAGGGAGAAATTAATCATGAAAAAATGAAATGAAATGAATATTTTAGTGGAAGAATATACATATACTAAAAAATGATCTATCTATTCTCTTTGGGTGATGGGAAAGATATGGCGCCCAGGGAAGCAGGGTAGAGGTAGAGAAAGAATATTTTACCTGCAGAAAGAATATTTCAGTGGTATTCACCATCTCAGTCAGTTTCAGCAACTTATTATTAGCCTATGAAAAAAGGCCAAAAAAAAAATCAAGTAATTGTAGGTATTTTAATAAGGCTAATTCCTTTCTTTTTAATAAAAAAAAGTACATTGCAGGGACTTTAATTATCAAATCACTATGTCAGCTATTAATTTTCACTTCAGAATGTTGCTTATTGTATTAGTTTGTCAGGGCTGCCATAATAGAGTATCACAGGCTGGGTGGCTGAAACAACAGAAATTTATTTTCTCATAATCCTGTAGGCTTAAAGTCTACAGTCAAGGTGTCTACAGGTTTGGTTCCATGTTGGAGCCCTCTCTCTTCGAATGGCAAATGGTCACCTTCCTGCTGTGTGCTCACATGGCCATCCTTCTGCCTATATTGTCTGTGTGCTAATCTCTTCTTAGAAGAACACCAGTCGGGGCCAGCAGATGGTGTAATGGTTACATTGCTGGACTCCCACGTGGTGAACTGTGGTTCAGTCCCAGACTTAATGGCTTGAAAATCACTCCAGGCACATGTGCATGCATGCCCAAAATCCTGGGAGGAGAAAGGATTGTGGTATCACCATTCACCCCTAGGAAGTGATCTCTCTCTCACCAGCAAGTGCACGCACCTTAAGGCAAAACCCTCTTTAAAAAAAAAAAAAGATTGAATGTATGGAAGAAAATGAAATGAAAAAATAATTAATTAACTAAAAAAATAAAAATAAAAATAATAAAATTTTAAAAAAGGAACACCAGTCAAATATTGGCTTAGGGCCCGCTTCAATGACCCCCCTTTTAACTTGACAACTCTTTACAAGCCCTATCTCCAAATATAGTCACAATCTGAGGTACTGGGATTGAGAACTTCAGCACATGAATTTGGTAGAAACAGGAGTCAGCCTATAACATTTAGAGATACGATTCAGCCTATAACACTTACCAAACTTTGAACATTAGCCATTATTTGTCCATAATATCTATAAATTAGTTGCACCCAAGTCTTTTGCAGAGTTTGTTTTAAAAACATTTTCCAGGTTTCTACCTCATGTGGAATAAACTGGAATTCAGAACAA